CCCATCACAGTGGTTGTTCCAGATGGTATATTTGGAGGTTGTGCATGTGTGAACCTTAGCTCACTGAACATAGTGTCAGGCAGGAAACAAATAGGTCCGTGGAAGAGGTATGGGCAGGGTTCCAGGAATCCACCAGGCGTGGGACACACTACAAAGATGGCAACAACAGAGCATGGCCACCCCAGGAGCTGTGGCCTTGGGGAGAAGAAGATAGCCACTGTCTACTCACAGCTGCCTTTCTAAGTGTTCATCCCCTCCAGCGCTCCCCAGTGCTGACACCCACAGAAGGCTGGAAGGCAAGGAAGCCTGGCTGATGTCTTCTGTAGGGATCAGCCTTCTTGGGCACAGAGTTGAGTGCGAGAGTGTAACAAGTGGGTCTGAAGGAGGAAATGGAAATTGTTTGGCTGGGGATCTGGACTGGGCACCTCCTGTGAGTGCAAAGACCCCATGGGCTGTGTTTTGATGCTTGTCACCCTATATCCAAGCTGCAACCCATGGCAAACAAGGCCTTCCTTGTAGTGGATGGTGTCTTATGTTATCGTGAGTCCTTCAGCTCCATGTCTCAGTGTTCTGGACTCAGAATGCAGGGGGCACAGAGGAGAGCACGCTAGACTGATATGTGTGTGTGTGTGTGTGTGAGTGTGAGTGTGTGTGTGCATGCGCACCTGTGGTCCCAGATGAGACATAATTCTGCCTAACCACAGCTACACAGGACATGGCATGAGGAGTACCACTCCTCCATCCATTGCACTGGATTATGGGTGATTTGAGGGCAATGACCACGTCTTCCTCATCTTGGTATCTTCCACTCCATATGAGTCAGGCAGTTAGTAGGTACTCATTTAGGGTTTACTGGATGACTGATGGATTAACAAATTCAGTGAGATCATAAGAGTTGTCTGGACTCAACAAAGTTGGGGGATACTGACACCTTTGGAAGGGTACCCCTGAGAAATTACTTTGTTGGCTAGTGAAAGTGCTGATGGGAAAATCCTTGGGCCCTGTTTCCTGCTGCTTCACTTTTCCAAGAGTGATCATTCTTTGGAAGAGGAAGGAAGGAAGGGGAAAGAAGATGTTCAGATGGATTTCACCCAAGCTATCTTGGAGATACTCTGGTTGTGTGGAATTGATAAAAAGAGCATCCCCAAGAGTCACTGTGACACTTCCCATTTCCTGGGTTCCAGGTGCTGAAACCTAGGTCCTCATACTCCCCATTAGCACAACAGGGTGTCCAGTTGCCACTTACAAGTACAGCAGTTTCTTCATATATTTTCATTTTTCTACCAATATTAATAATGATCCTAAATGACTGATCCTAAAAGCTGAGTTTTATCCATGAATTGCCTGAGGTGGTGGTCGTGTGTGGGTAAATCAATTGGTCTTAAAAGCAACCAGCCCCCTTTTAGTGTTTGATTGGTTGGTTGAAATTCTATTTCCAGAAAGATGTTAACACTTTTGCATGTTTGCTGTTCTTTTCCATGCTTGACTCCATGCATTTTATGGAGTCAACCACACTTGATGCTTGTGTTCTCTCAAGTTTGAGAATGAGCAAACACTGCAGGGCTTACATCGCACGGATTTCAAGATTCTATTCAATAATCTTCAGAAACAATCTATTTCCACTGGATTTTCCATCCACCATTCCGCAGATGAAGGTGATTGATCATGGGAAGTATTGGGATGAAATTAGAGGCACCCTGTGGAGGTTTTGCATTCATTCAGTCTTTGTGCTTTACATTTCTGATGATCACCATGACTAAAATATTTGTCCAGAGAAGCCTATTGCTGTATTTCACAGTGCACTCTTTCGTATGCTGTTTAATGCTGTATGATTAAAACATCTCTCTGAAAGGTTCAAAATTATGAATTTCTGCAGTTCTGAGGTTCTTCTGCAACATCCCATGGCCCCAGAGAACACCTGGCTTGGAGTCATGCTAGTTTAGTTTAACAAAGTGCCAACTGCCAATGAGCGTTGTCTTCCAAGAGGACGTGTACAGGTCATGGATGGGCGGTTCCTGAGCATCCACTCAGATGACGGAGGAGGCTGCAGGATGCCTGGATGCTACAAGAACACAACAAGACCTGAGTCCTCCCACTGTACCTCTGATTGCACAGCATAGTTCCAGAGTGTACTCCAGGTAGCCTTCAAAACCTGTTCTAGCTTGGCACCTTTTCTTTCCTAGCATGTGGGAAGTAATTCCCGCTGCAAATTTGCTACCATCCTAGAAGACTCAAAGTGACAATTTGAATGACAAGTATTTGCACAGTTCTGGCTAGAGCAATTCTGGCTAATTGTGCTTGTAAACATCAGGAATTGATGAGAGAATTGGAGCGCATCTAGAATTTCAATATATGCTCACTCCAGATGCTATCTCCTCTTGTGACACCAGAGCTGCAGGGTAAGAGGGGTGCTTATGCTAAACAATGCTTTTGGAGACTTCCTTTGCCTTCCTCTCTGACAGGTGGTGGTGGTGCTTACCTCATCTAACTGTAAGAAACATCCTTTGTGCACACATGCTACTTGCTCCTCCATTTACTCATTCACATGTCCATCTACTCATCAGAAAACCCTGTTCCTCATGGAAATCTACACCAAAGGTTTACTAAATAGCATAATGGGTGTTAGCAATGAATTGTCATTAAAGAAGTTAGTGATTTCCAAGACACATAGTTGGTTAGAAATCATAGCCCCCTTGAGGGACATGTAGGACAATTGGCATACTCAACAAAGACAATATCCTTACATCCTGAGTAAGTGACTAGGTGCTGAGTACTGACTGGGGTCTTAAAAAAGCTTATGAGTGGCCATCTAAGATTCATGTATTGGTCCCTCCCCATCTGGAATAAAGAAGAATGAAGAAAAGTAAAGATGCAAGGAAATTATTAGTGCAAAAGATGAAGGAACCTTGTGAACCCCAGCCTCCACGACCCTGAGACCGGAAGAACTAGATGGTACCCAGCTGCCACTACCAACTGTGCTGATTGGTGTAACAATGGAAAGTCCTGGACAGAGTCAGAGAAAAACATGAGACAAAACTCAAAATCCTAAAAACGACTGACTTACTGGTCTGACAGAGACTGGTGGAAATGCTGAGACTATAGTCCCTAGATACTCTTCAAGCCTGGAACCACATTCAGCCCAGTAGATCAACTTGCAGCCAAACTGTAGACAAGGCCAATAAAGTGAATAATAACACCAGAGGGCAATGCTCTCCTTGGAGCAGTCAACTGTAGGAGGCCGCAGGGGCAGCATTTGCCCAGGGATAAAACTCAGAAGGCCCGAAGGGGCAGGAAAGAAGGACAAATGGAAATGGGGAACCCAGGGAAGAATTGGGAAGAGTGCAGTTACCTTGTGGGGATTGCAGGCAGTGTTAGAAAATAAAATGTGCATAAACTGTTGAATTGCAAACTAATTTTCTCCATAAACT